GCTCATTCAAACTAGTGTTATAAAAACTATAACATGCCTTGTTACATTTGATTGTGCACGGCTGTCCGCATCGTTCTGCACAACCGTGGCCACATGAGAGGATTTCCGGGCAACGCATTGGACAACTAGTAGACTTGCTCGCCTCACTGCAGACACGTCCAGGAATGACCGCACACATCATTCGAGAGAGCTTTACAGGCTTAATAGGAGAGCATTCAAATAAATAAACACAAGTTCAGACCAGACACCATATAAAATAACCCTATAACATACTTGCAATGCGCTATTTCTGTCTGTCTCTCTACGGTATCATATTTGGATAGCTGGGGTATGGGGCATCAAGAAATTGTAATTGGTTCCGAGACGATCTCATAAGCGTCAAAGAAGAAAAAAAACCATAAAGCTACGCCAAAGTGGATAGGGCTGGAGAACAGATTCCGGCTGCTTTTTCAATGTGACCCACAGAAGTCTGCGTAGCTAAACTTGCTAGTATGACAATACTTACCTCTAGACAAATCATATCGCAAGGTTTACCACAGGTGGAAGGACACTGGTGTCCACAGCTGAGCATTTTCTTGCATCTGAAATGAATACTATACTCTTCCATCCATTTTATGGGTTTCCAGTCCAGAGCCGAAGGAGGAGAACAAAAACCAGAGCGAATAACAGAGGAAGCTCGTCGCACTCAAGCACCATCAAACATTCTTTACAGTAACCATGAAACCTACCGTTCATGACAAACGGCATTGTCCGAGGCGTAGCATAGCACATTTGTAGAATGCCCACACTTCAGACGAATTTTTACCTACGTGAGCGCAGTCACCACATGGCTGAAGAATTCAACATATTCAACAGAGGTGCGTCATTACAACATTGGAATGCTCAAGGAAGTACATATATCAATGTGCTGTTGAACTTTCTCGCCGGAACTCGAAACTGAATTTCATCATGAACAGCTTTAGCGCAACTGAAGAAGTTGCCCCGCAGTGAAAGTCCGCTACTGCTCATGGAAAGAAAGACCACTTTCAAAACAGAAAAGACGATTAACTTACACCTTCCCAAAGCTAATCAATTCAAGCATTCGGACGATAGTAGAAAAACTGCTCTTTATGCCGATGTCAGACTTAGCGAATCGAGCCATTCGCTGTACGCGACGCGACCGCAGACGCTAGCGAGTCGCCAGTAGCGAACCGCTCGATTCGAGAAGTCTAACATCGGCCTAAAATAGCGTGAGCACAAGACATTGTATGGATCAAAGGCGATCTCTAACCACCACTAAGCGGAAAAGTGAATTCGTGGCAAACTCCAAAAACATCAACTGGACGTTTTTTATGCCATAAATTTAATATAGATTCAGGACTGTCATGGGCATCTGAACAGGTTTTCAAAGGCATGCCCCAGGATCACATTGGTGTCTCCCTTGTACTCGAATGCAAATCTGTTGGGGAAGTGAAGAAAAAAGGAAAAGAATCCGTCAAAAACGCTCAGGGTTAGGGCTCACTCACCTTCCTAATCGGCTGTGCTAAGGGAATGAGAGACTAAGCGCGGAGAGGAGAGTATGAGGCGAGAGAGCGCTACAGATGAGAGAGCGCCAGACAACAGCCTGATAAAGAAAAAAGTCTGCAGCTTCAGCAGCTTACTTTGCAAGGCCCAAGCGCTCTTGTCGGTTGGTTTCCGTGCACGAGAACGCCACATTTGTGATTGTCCTCTAGGGTCTATACTACAGACCGAAGAGAAGCGTTCACACGAACTCTGCCTGGGTTGTGCCTTAAAACTGTTCAACTGTTTCTGTACCTCAAAGCATCTTCGCTGACATGGATGTCGGTAGCGCTCATCTTTGCATGTTCGGAGGCACTCTTGTGTACATTTCCAGCTATCATGGTCATCATTCGGATGGCACCTGAATAAATGTGATCTACGAGCCTTTCTCAGCATCCCGGAAGTTTGCATGTATTGGTCGTTTCTACAAATGGGGCTATGCTTTTCTTCCTGCTTGTCTGTGTTTGCATCACGAAATTCAGGACTGCCTCATGAATCAACCAAAAAACTCCCCTCCCACACAGCCAGTAGGGAAGTTCTCTGAACAAGCAGAATTTCATGTGAAAAACCCATGAACGGGTTTCAAAGAGAAGTTGTAAAAACAGAGGGAAGTAAGCACGAACTCCAGATAGATTAGTTTAGGATGGTCAACAGAGCCCAGGATGGGAACGGAGAAAGACGGTCACCGTGCGCCACGGTCAAGCCGTCATGATGGACCAATTTCGAGAAATTTTACGACCCCCCCCCCCACTTCTAGAGGGCCTCGATACGACCCTCTCCGTCGCCATTCATGGGGACGATTGTGTATAGTATTTCGATTCTGACAAGGGAAGGATACCAGGTCGAAGTGGCCATTTGTAACGAGACATACACCACTAGATGTGTTTTTGGACGCTGATCTCGAATCTGCTCTCCAAATCTGCGAAACGATTTTCTGAACGTAGTTATGAAGCCAGATAGTGCAGCGGTAGCGGCCTGGGCCGACGAACAAGAGGTCGTGGATCGACTCGAGTTCGAGTTCTTACTTTTGCTTTTCTTGGAAACATTGTTTAAGGAACTTTTATCCATACTTAGCCATCAGCGATTGCCAATCATACAAGTGGAAAGAGCTAGCGAAGTGCTTCGAACACTGTGTGCGTCATCAGCAAATGACCGTCTCTGGCACCCGTAGCGCATGCGTCATGCACTTTCTTGCCAAATAGATGTGATTTCGTGTTCAGCGCATCAAAGTACCCCTTGTGACAACTTTTGATCCAAATCCAAAGTTTTAACCTAAAGTCGAAAATGTGGGCACACACGACCGACAGGACACGGCAAATGACGCGCATAGTGTTCGAAGCTCTTTGCCAGCTCTTTCCTCTTATAGGATAGGCAGTCGTTGATAATTTAGCATGCATAAGAGTTCTTTGAACAATGTTTTCAAGAAAAGCAGCTGAAAACTCGCCAAGAAGTCGATCTCACGACCTCTTGCTCGTCGGCCCGGGCCGCTGCCACTGCACTATCTCGCTTCATAACTACGTTCAGAGAATCGTTTCGCAGATTTGGAGAGCAGATTCGAGATCAGCGTCCAAAAACACATCTAGTGGTGTATGTCTCGTTACAAATGGCCACTTCGACCTGGTATCCTTCCCTTGTGAGACCAAGTCGCGAAGCCAACTCCGGGCGCCTTTCCCACCAAAAGTGCTGTCGGGGGGGGGGGGTGAATATATAGGAGTGCAACATAAACTTTCGCACTCAAAATCCCAGCCAACAACCTAATCCGCTCTTCCGTTCCACGAAAAATCATCCTTCCCTAACTTTGACATTAACGCTACTTCGCGAAATACGACCCCCGCCCACCCCCTCGTTGGACCTAGTCCAACGGACGGTTGACCCTGCTGTGCGCGTTGCATGCAGAAACTGCGCAGCTTTTGCTTTTAAAATTCGCCTTGAATAGACTGAAGAAGGCTAAAAAAGATGCCTGATGTTTGATGCACACGATTGCAATAGTTGTTTTGATAATAGAAATTAGCCATTGGACAGATAGCGCGATAAATTGTTCGTGATGGAAATGAAAGTAGAAGTGGCAAGTGGTGCGATAAACCCGCATTATGGGACCTTCTCGCCGCCTGAGTGGTTTTTGCGAAGTATTCCGCCAACGGAATTCTACGACAGATGACGTCATGACAAAAAGAATATTGCTCTGCTTTTTACACTCGCGCCGTAGACCGTACCACTCACCCATTCTAGGTTGGTTCCTTGTCGTGGACGGTAACCTCCCACCCATCATGGGTCAATTCACCACCTTGGAGACGAGACTGTTCTTCACGATAACGCTCGTCACCACGAGCAAGGCCTTGCTATGCTTCTACGGATGCACCCTCCGCCACGGAACTGGCACGATCCGGCCTCTTTGAAGCCTACCCTTCCCTATATGAAAATGAGCACATTTCCGTTTCATCAGCATCCCACTCCACATGCGTTTGATATAAACATATTGCACCCACAAATGAAGACAAGAATCAATGAAGAGCGTGGCACACTCTGTTCGCAGTTGCATTCTTTTGTTCAAGCCTCTCCAGTAATTAAGGCGCATTATTATTGTACGGCCTAGGCGATTCTTTCGCTCAGCAATCAGGACGAAATTGAGCAAATTCAAAAAAAAAACAGCTGTTGGCTACTACATTGAGGAAACGTGCAACAAACATTTCAAACGGTATGCCGTTGTAGACTTCATTATTGGGATGAGACTATATATGGCGTGGCTTCAAGGGAATTTGTATAACAATATTGAATCAACATCAACAACGATAGAATGGAAGCCCTCATCGAGTCTCTTTGGAACAATTAAACGGTTTTCGTAACAACCCACCTCCTTGGACATTTGTGACTACATGGAAGCTCGGCATCGCAGATTTCCAAACATCCACCCTCCGGTGATTTTGTAGCGAACTCACTTGGATGTTCAATCTTCTAAATAAACAGGGAATTGGAACACTACCAGAGCAACTATTGAGAAGTAAGAAAAAAGTATAAAAATAAGAACGAGATAATCACCTGAAGATTTCCATGGCGCTGGCAGCGAATCGGCAACAACGAGTCTGCAAATCCCTTATCGTACATGTCGGTAGCTAGCTGGCGCCAAAATGACGAGCAATCCGCAAAGTAAACGAGGTTCCCAACTACATACATGCCATGTTGTGCTCGGGTCAATGCAACCGTAATGCGATTTCTCACCTTAATTAGTTTTTAAGAAATGCCCAGCCTGTTTGAAAATCAGGAGAGAAATTTCAAATTCCAGCGGAAACAAAGCTATAACAAACTCACCGCCAAAAATCCGATCCCATCCATCA